TTCCGGATGCACCTCGGCGCGAGGTAGAAAGCGGCCGCGGGGGGGGGGGGGGGGGGGGGGGGGGGGGGCGCCCAGGGGGGGGGGGGGGGGGGGGGGGAGCATATGCGTGCGCGTGCGCGCTCGCGTTCCATCGTGCGGCCTCCTTCGCCTGGTTTCCGGTTCCCCTCCGCCCTCGCGCGGCCCTCTCACCGGGCCCGGAGTGAAATTGCAGATGGCCACCGTCCACGGGGCTTTTGCGCCCCCCTGCCAAAGGATACGAAGCGTCGTCTGATTCACCCTCCCCAGTGTTTATCTTTTGGCCCTTCTTGCCTCTCCCGATTGTACTTTTGCCCGCGCCCCTTCTCCTCCCCCCCCCCCCCCGCCCCGCATTCAACCTCGCGCATCTGCCCTCCACCCAGCAACGGCCATCCCTGTGGTCATGCGCATGCCTTGCCCTCGCCCCCTTCCGCGGTCGCAGCTCCACGCGACTGTGCATCCCATGGCTGTCTCCTGCAGTTCTCTCTCTCTCCCTCCCTCCCCCCTCTGGACTTGTTTCCTGCGGCTGTCCTGCCCCCCCTCCCCCGCTCCTCCCCTCCCTATGAGCATTCCTTGCGTCTGTGGTTGCGCAAGACCCTCCGCCAGTGTTTGCCTCCATTGCCACCTGCCCGGTGACTGTCTCGAGATGGTGGCCCGGCGGCGGTGCTCCCCGCCTGGCCCCAGCGCTGGCGTTCTCGCCGCCTGGTCCCAGCACCGGCTATAGCAGGCAGGCAGGCAGGCAGGCAGGCGGGCAGGCACCGCACCCCCAACTCCCCTTCCCCTTCCACAGGAGTCTGCCTTGCACGCACACTCCGCTTCGACACTTTCTCAGCACCGAGCTCTCCCCGTCCTATGCCCGGTCGCTGTTCCCGCTCTCCCCCCCCCCCCCCCCGGCCTCTGACCCGCCCGCCCCTTCCTCACCATCCCGCCCTCCCGTCCACGCAGAGAAGGATGCTGTCCTCTGTCTCCCGCACCGCCCTGGGTCAGACGCGTCAGCGCTTCACCCGCGCTTTCGTCACCACCGGTGCGCATCCCTTTTTGCATCCCGCCATCCATGTGCACCCCGCCCCCACCCCCCTTCCCCTCCACCAGCCCCCCGCCTCAATGCTGCCGTCGTCTCGCAGGAGATGATCGACCTGGAGGTCGACGGCGTGGCCGTGTCCGTTCCCCAGGGGTCGACCGTGATCCAGGCCTGCGAGGCCGCCGGCGTGGAGATCCCCCGGTTCTGCTACCACGAGCGCCTGGCCATCGCCGGTAACTGCCGCATGTGCCTGGTCGAGGTGGAGCGCGTGCCCAAGCCTGTGGCCTCGTGCGCCATGCCGGCCAGCGCCGGCATGAAGGTCAAGACCGGCACCGACCTGGTCAAGAAGGCCCGCGAGGGTGTCATGGAGTTCCTCCTGGCCCAGCACCCGCTGGATTGCCCGATTTGCGACCAGGCCGGCGAGTGCGACCTGCAGGACCAGTCCATGGTCTTCGGGTCGGATCGGTCTCGCTATCGCGAGGTGTTCGCCGGCAAGCGTGCCGTCGAGGACAAGGACTTCGGCCCGCTGGTCAAGACCACCATGACCCGGTGCATTCACTGCACTCGTTGCGTGCGCTTCGCCACCGAGGTGGCCGGCGCCGAGGAGCTCGGCACTTCTGGCCGTGGCAATGACATGGAGATCGGCACCTACGTGTCCAAGGTCCTGGACACCGAGCTGTCCGGCAACATCATCGACCTGTGCCCGGTCGGTGCTCTGACCTCCAAGCCGTATGCCTTCACGGCCCGGCCGTGGGAGCTGCGCAAGATCGCCTCCATCGATGTGCATGATGCCCTCGGGTCCAACATCCGTGTCGATGCTCGCGGCAACGAGGTCATGCGCATTGTCCCCCGCCTGCATGGCGAGATCAATGAGGAGTGGCTGGCCGACAAGGGGCGCTTCTCGTATGACGGCCTCAAGCGCCAGCGCCTGACCACCCCCATGATCCGCGAGGGCGATACCTTCCGCGCTGCCTCTTGGGAGGAGGCCCTGGACCGCGTGCGCCAGGTCATGACCCTGACCCCGGGCCGGCAGATGACCGCCGTGGCCGGGCAGCTGGCCGACGCCGAGTCCATTGTGGCCCTCAAGGATCTGTTCTCGCGCCTGGGCTCCTCGAACCTGCTGTACGACGGCTTTGTCGGCAAGGACGCCCTGGGCTCGGATCTCCGGTGCGTTCCTCTTTCCTTCTCTCTCTCTCTCTTTTTCCTTCTCTCTCTCTCTTTTTCCTTCTCTCTCTTTCTCTCTTTTTCCCTTTCTCTCTTTCTCTCCCTCTCTCTTTCTCTCTTTCTCTCTTTCTCTCTTTCTCTCTTTCTCTCTTTCTCTCCCTCTCTCTTTCTCTCTTTCTCTCCCCCCCCTCTCTCCCCCCCTCTCTCTCCCCCTCTCTCTTCTCCTCCTCCTACTTGCTACGCACACAGCCCCCTCCCGTCTACCTCCCCCACGCCCTCTTTTAACCCTTCTCCCCCTCTCCGGCGCGCAGCTCCAACTACCTCCTCAACACCACCATCTCCGGTGCCGAGTTCGCTGATGCCGTCCTCCTGGTCGGCACCAACCCCCGCCATGAGGCTCCGCTGCTGCAGTCGCGCCTGCGCAAGGCCTTCATCCACCGCAACCAGCAGATCGGCCTGGTCGGTGCCCCGGTCAAGCTCACCGTCGAGTATGACCACATCGGTGCCTCGCCCACCGACCTGTATGCCCTGGCCAACAAGACCCACCCGTTCGCCGAGACCCTGGCCAAGGCCGAGCGCCCGATGATCATCGTCGGCGCGGATGTCGCCTCGCGCCCGGACGGTGCCGACATCATGGCCGCCGTGGCCTCCATTTCTAAGTTCGCCAAGGTCGTCACCCCCGAGTGGAACGGCTTCTCGGTGCTGCAGCGCGTGCGTACCTATCTCCACACTCCGCCCCCCCCCCCCCCTCCGCTTGGGTCTCCGGGAGGTCATCCGCGTTGCATGTGTCCCTCTCTTGTGCGTCTTCCCGCTTGCCGCCACTCACATCATGTCCCCGGCGCGCCGCCCCCCCCCCCCGACCACCGTACACAGCACGCCAGCCGCACGGCCGCCCTCGACATCGGCTTCACCCCCGGTGTCAACGCCGACCTGACCGACGCCGGCAAGAAGTTCCTCTACCTGCTCGGCTCGGATGAGATCAAGCCCGAGGACATCCCCAAGGGCTCGTTCGTCGTGTACCAGGGCCACCATGGTGATGTGGCCGCGCACTATGCCGACGTCCTGCTCCCGGGTGCCGCCTACACCGAGAAGACCGCCACCTACGTGAACACCGAGGGCCGCGCGCAGCACGCCTACGCGGCTGTCTCCCCGCCGGGCAACTCGCGCGAGGACTGGATGATCATCCGCGCCCTGTCCGAGGTGCTGGGTGCCACCCTGCCCTACCACGATCTGGCCGGTGTGCGCGCCCGCCTGGCCGACTTCAGCCCCGCTTTCTCCGACATCGACACCGTTCCCCCGGGCTTCGGTGCCGAGCTCACCATGGCCACCCTGGCCGCGGCCAAGGGCAAGGGCGCCGATGCCGGCCCCTTCAGCCTGCCGATCGCCGATTACTACATGACTGACGCCATCAGCCGGTCTTCCCAGACCATGGCCCGGTGCTCGAGTGCCTTCGCCAACGGCCGCCCCAGCCCGCTGGCCAACCTGTCGGTCGCGGCGCCGGCCGCCGAGAAGAAGGTCGCCGCCCCTCAGCAGCAGTAAGTCCTCCTCCTCCGGCCGTTTCCTCGCCCCCCCTCCCTCCTTCGGCTCTCCCTGCCCGTCCCTATTTTTCGGGGGGCTGTCAGTGGGGCGCAAGGGGGGACCCCCGGGGGGAGATGTGGGGAAGCAGCAAGATGGAACGAGCGAGAGAAAGCGAGAGAGGGCGACCGATCTCGACGAGAGGGACTCGGCGAGGAGGAGTTGTCAGAGCCAGAGCCAATGTCCAGTGAGAGGGGAGACACGCGTCACGCCACATCGAGAGAGAGCGAGCGAAAGGGGCCTCCCCGCTCGGCTGCCTTTCCCCGCAGTGCCGCAGCATGCCGGGGGCTTCCAGTCGCGCGCGTCTGCCCCCCGTCCCTCTCTCCTTTCCTCCCCCCCTGTGTATATCCATACGCGGGTGCGGGGGGGAGCAAGGAAGGGGGCAGCGGGGGGGGGGGGGGTTCTCTTCCCTTCGTCCCCCCTCTCTCCCTCTCCCCTCTGCCTACCTTGTGCATCCTGTGCCCGCTCCTCTCCCTGTCCTCCTTCCCTTTCCCCTCCCCTCTGAAAACACACACACACACATACTTCCTTTTACACGCCTGCGTCGTCCTCGCAGCACGCAATATACACCTATATATACATATACAGATCCGCATGCACACATGTGAATGCATTTGCGAGCGCGGGCATGGCAGGTTTTGGTGTGAGGGGGGGGGGGGGGGGGGAGGGGGGGGGGGGGGGAGGACCGACCACTTGGAGGAGGGCAAGGGTGTCCGTATGCATTCACGCGGGCGGGGCGGACAGGCGCTGCCCAAGGGGTCTCACAGGTAGACGCGCGTGTCGCGCCGGATGATGTACCGTTCCCGCGCGGCGGCCAGCTTGTTCTGGAGCTCCTGGCGTCGATCATCCTCGGCAGGGGTGTTGGTGGGGTCGCGCGAGGAGCGCGTTTCCTGGTGCCCCGGGCGGGGGAATCCCCCCCGGGACCCGGCACCTGACCGGGACCCGGAACGTTGTCCCTCCTCTCGTGAGAGGGGCGACCGGGACCGGGGCCGGGACCGGGACCGGGACCGACGGTCGTGAGAGCCCGAGGTATTGCGGTGGTCGCGGTGGTCGCGGCGGTCGCGGTGGTCGTGATGAGCCGAAGCCCCACGGCGGTCGGCGATATCGCGACTCGACTGCCCATGCGACGAGGGGGGCGTCCGGCGGGCGTCGGCCGCCGGGGCGGCGTCTGTGGAGGCACCCATGGCCACATTCTCGCCACGGACCAGGCCTTGATAGAACCCCCCCAGGCCGGAGGAGATGGTCGCCTGGTCGCGGGCTGCCATGCGCGATGCGGCCAAGGGGGAGAAGGGAGGGTGGCGAGGAGGGGAGACACGCAAGTTCGGCGCTGGCGTCAGGGGGGAGGGAGGGAGCACGGCGGAGCAGAGGCAAAGTAGGTGGGGGCAGGGAACGCACTCTCGCGCTCCTGATCGCGGGCATCCTCCTCCATGAGCTGCAGCTGTCGGTCCAGGTAGGCCTGCGTCACGAAGGTCTCCTTGGTGGGGAATTGTTCACGCTCCTCCTCCATTTTCCGGTGGATGGAGCGCAGCTTGGAGTTCTCGCGCTCAACCTCGCGCAACTCCGACTTGGCGATCAGCGCGCCGATGTACTTGGGCTGTGCAGCAGGGAAGGGGGGCGCATCAGTAAGGGGCGCATCAGTAAGGGCGCCCCAGGAGGGGAATTGTGCCAGGCAGGACGAGAAAGAGAGAGAGAGAGAGAGAGAGAGGGAACACGCCCTGGGGTGGGGGGCAGTGGCAACATACCTTCCGGTCGCGGGCCTTCGCCTCGGCCTCCTCGCGCCGGCGCTGGTACTCTTCCTCGTAGGCGGCGTCGTAATCGAAGGTGGCCGCCTCGGCCTTGGTGGCCGCAACGTCGGCATCCTCCGCCGAGAAGGTGGTGGCCGACATCGACACCCCTTCGAGCCCGGCTCCGAAGGCGGATCCGGTGAAGGCGGCCACGGAATAGCGCTGCCACGCGCCATGGCATCAGGGACTGGGTGAGTGAAACGGGCCCGTGGGATGGCATGAGGCAATCGTCCCCCCCCCCCTCGGGTGGATGATGGTACGCACGGAAGGGGGGGCCGGGGTGGTGGTGGTGGTGGCCGAGTGGGTGTCGTCGTCGTCATCGCTTGAGTCCGAGTCGCCGAACATGGCCGACTGGCGTTTCATTGTAGCGGGGACAGGGCGGCAGAGGGCGGCAGAGGGCGACACAAAGCAAAGGGAGGCGGACGAGGGCGAGGGGGACAGGAGGGCATGGGCGGGACGGGTGCTGGTGGCTGCCCTCTTGCGGACCGGCAATCGGCGGACAACGATCTGGCAGAAAAAGGCCACCAATGTGGCGTCTCATGTGACGGGATCAGCCCCACGAAGGCAGGGGCGTGATCAATGATACCCGGAGGGTTGGCTGTTCGGAGTTTCCCGAGAGGCGCAAGGGGCAGGACTGGAGACAGGATGGCCGCCGTGTGGGCGCGCGTATATTTGGCGTGGTGCGCACGCATGCGTGGCACGCGGTTTCAAGGCTGGGCAAGCGGAGTACACAGGAAGGAGCCGGAGCCGAAAAAGAGAATAGGGGAGACGCCCCTCCCTGGCGTCCGGCGCCGACGAGTCGAAAAAGTTATGGCGGATGGACAGCTGCTACACACACACACACACACGTTCTCCCTGTCATCCGGGTCTCAATGCCGCATGCTATGGAAGGCCGAAAAGTGCATGGCGCCCTGGCGGCCGGGTGTCGAGGCGCCACTGGGGGAGTCGGCCGAGCCGTGTGGTTGGCTAGCCCAGAGAGAGCGCGAGGGGGGCAAGGCCGCCAAGCTATCGCCGCCTCCAAGGTGTGGGGAGGCCCCCAGACTGAGGCGCGGCCCGGCAGCCGGGGAGAGGGGCTGGCCGGCCGGAGCTGCGCGTGGCGAGAACTGCCCCGAGTACTGGTAATGGTGCTGCTGCTGCTGCTGCTGCGGCGGCGGCGGCTGGTGGTGGGACGGGTGGTGATAGGCGTAGGGATACCTGCCGCCGGGGGTTGGGGGGTAGCCCGGAGCCCGGGGGACAAGGGCGCCGCCATGGTCTGCCCCCCCGGACGGAAGCATCGCCCCGTCAACCGGGCCCGAGGGGTGGCCATAGTGGCTGGCATGCTGGCGTGGGGCGTCATTGCGGGCAGTGGTGCTCGGCAGCAGGGTGTGCTTGAGGGCCTTGCCGACGGAGGCCAGTGAGCCGATCAAGTTGGAAAAGGCCCCAGCCAGTGTGGCCTCGCCGGGGGGCACCGCCATGTTGGCGGAGGGGGAGGATGCCGGGGGGCTGCCCCAGTGGGCCGGTCCCTCGGCCGCTCCGGCCGCGGACCCGGCCGGGCCGGCATCGCGAATGGAGAAGCTACTGAAGGCACGGCCGACGTCGGTCGGCAGGCCGCCAAGCTCGCGCGAGATGGACGCCGCGGAGGGAAGCCGCGAGGGGGGCACCGCGATGACCGTGCCATCACGGTGGCGGAGTTCGGCCGCGGGCGGCTCCGAAAAGAGGAGCTGCTCCATCGGCCGGAGAGGCTGCCGGCTGCGAAGGTCAAAGCTACGCTCGGGAACCGACACCCGCGGCAGGAAGGGGTTCGGCCGAGAGGACGGGCATGGCGAGGGGGCGGCGAGGCCGGCATCGCCGGTCGTGGCGTCGGCGCCAGGGGTGTCCGCATGTGAAGAGCCTGCCCCGGCGGGGGGCGAAGGGGGGGCGCTGGGGGTGGCGGAGCCGCTGCTGGCGGCCGGCGAGTCGGCGGCGGCGGCGGCGGCGGCGGCCAGGGCGGCGGTATCGACGCTCAGGCCGAGGGCCGGGTTGATGACCGGCCGAGGACCGGCCGAAGCCACGGTCGAGACGGGGGTCGCCGCGCCGGAGAAGGACAGCGGCGTCAGTCGATCGGCCAGGCTGAAGGGATCCTCACTTTCGTCGAAGGGCATGGCCTCCGGCCGGGAGGGGCGCGAGGCCGACGAGGAGGGGCCCGGCTCGGGCCCGGTCGCCGGGAGGAGAATGTCCAAGCCCAGGGCGTCCAGTTGGCTGGCCGTGCGAGGGTTCATGGCCGGGATGTATGGCATGGCCGGACGGCAGGAGAGCTGGAAGCCCGGGTGGCGTGCGCATGTGAATATGCCGAGCGGCGAGCGAGCGAGCGAGCGAGCGAGAGGCGACAAGTGGTCGCCTGGCAGCGGGCGCACCATCAGCATGAGAATGACCTGCATGGCGGCGAGGCCCACCATCGGGGCCGAGGCCGGGGGCAGCTGCGTCACAGACAGCAGCCCGGAGAAGAGGGCCACATGCAGCAGCCAGACCAAGTTAACCAGGAGTGTGGTCGAGAGCGAGGGCGGCTGGCGGCGACAGAGGATGCACCTGGTGTGAGAGGGTGGAAGAAGTAGGAAGGTACATGGGATGGGAGGGGGTACGTACTCCGGGGATGCTGAAGGAGCGCGCGTGCCGTCGGACCAGGATCTGCTCATGCAGGGCCAAGCCCACCTGGACCAGGGAGGCCAGAGCAGCCAGGATGGCATGCGGGGCCACTCGGTCCACGGGTCGCAGGGAGGCGCAGAACACCGGCCCCCCGGATGGGCTTGCCACCGCCACCAGGGCACTGGCACTGTCGCAGCCCAGCTGCACAAGCGACAGGATGCTTTGGGAGAAGTAAAGTAGGGACCGGACGAAGTTGACTCGGCGGCCGTGGTGCAGCAGGGCCGCGTACGATTCCTGCGCACGGGGGAGGACGTGTGCATGTTGGAGACGGGGCGCGCCGGGGGGCGATGGCATGGTCAGGGCGGGCGCCTTCATGGGCATGGATGAGGGCATGTGCGGGGGGGGGGGCGGGACGAAGGGCAAGGGGACAGGCCACGCACGAACTCCTTGACGAAGGGATTGCTGCCGGGGCCGGACTGTGAAGAGGGGAAGTCGCCTGGGCCCCCGGTGCCAGCCCCGCCCCGGGCAGGGGCCAGGAGCACGGGCCCCGGGCGGTTGGCCGTGGCTGAGATCTTCAAGCGCCGGTCCTGCTGGCGGAGGAAATTCTGCGTGGCCCACTCGCACACCTTGCACAGAGCGTAGCGCTGTTCGAGGGCCGCCCGCCGGCGGTCTAGCTCCACCTGCTGCCCGGCCGGGATGGTCCCATCATCCAGGAGCCCGGAGTGTCCGCCAGAGGGGCCGTGCACCGGCCGGCCAAGCAGACGTCCCAGCCAGGAGGCCGCGCGACCCGGCGACTCGGGCCGCCGGTCGACCGGGGCATCCTCCTCGGGAAGCATTTGAGCCAGGGCACCAACCAGAAGCTCCTGGTTGCGCTGACAGGCATCGCATAGAGCCGGCGGCCGGGGGAGCCCGGCCAGCGCGACGCCGGAGCCTGGCCCGGTGGCCGTTCGGGCTGGCTGCTCGGTGTCGCCCTCGGCCCGGGGGCCGGCACGCCGGGCGAAGGTCAGCCGTGAGGTATCAAAGTGGGCGCCTTCGCGCGTCATCATGGGCACATCATAGTCGCCGGTCTGGGTGCCGGTGCGGTGTCAGAGGGGGAGGGGGGATGGGGGAGGAGGGAAGGCGTGAGTCAAAAGCACAGGGCAAGGCGGGTCAGATCCCGAGTGGTGGATGCCACGCACGCTGGTGAAGCCGTTGTAGGACCCGCACGCCTGGCAGGTGAAGGAGTCGGGGTCGGCACCCTCGGCCGTGGCCGAGCAGAACCAGCACTCCCTGGATACATGCAGATGGGGTCAGGGGAGGGGGGGGGGGGCGCAAGTGGCGGGGGATGATGCAGGTGACGCACGCGACCGTGACATCGGCGAGGGGCTTGGCCGGGGCCAACGCCCGACGAATCCGATCCAGGAGACTGGCCGTGGGTGCGCCGGTGGCGCCGTCGCCCACCGGTCGCAGCGGCACCTGCCGGAGGAGCACGATCACCCCCAGCGCGAAGAGGATCACCAGGACCGCGAGGCCGGTGGAGGCCGGTGCCGGGCGCAGGGGCAGCCCATCGATCGGAGCCGTCACCAAGGTGGCCGGCTGGACGGCGGCCCGATCGAAGGGCTTCAGGATGCTGGCAAAGATCTGGGACATGCGGCGATCCAGGGCCCCGGCATGGCCCGGGCCGGCCTGCCGTCCGGGAGCCTGGGCGTCGGGGCGGGGGAAGCCCTCTGCCGGCGTCGCCACCACCACCACCGCCCCCGCGGCCGCCGGCGTCGCAGGCGACACGGGCGTAGGGGGCGATGGCTGCGGGGCCGGTGAGGATGGGGGCCGCTGGGGCGTGGCGCCCGGGCGGTCGCCGGACCCGGCAGTGGGTCCCCTCGGCTGGGGCTCCGGCGGTGGGACCGGCGCCGGCCGGAGGAGGACATGCCTGGTCCCGTCGCCCACCTCAACCAGGATTTCGTGCATGAAGACACCCCCCTGGCGAATGGGACGCGGATGCCCGGTGGCCGAAGCCGGCGGGGCTGCGAGGTCCCCCTGGTCCGGCTCATCTTCGCCATCATCTTCATCATCCCCAGAGACATCCCCCGGGGGGGTGGCCAGCGTGGATTCCTCCATGGGCTCCTCCTCCTCGTCGTCGTAGCCATCATAGCTCTCGAAGGGGTGGTCCTTGTGGTCGTCGTGGTCGTGGTCGTGGTCGTGGTCGTCGTCGGAGCTGAGGTCCTCGTCGGATAGGAAATCCAGGAACCGGTCGCCCGGATCTTCGGTCACTGCTTCCGGCGGCGGCGGTGGCGGGGGGCGATTGCTTGCGACGGGGGCCCCGGCCCCGACACGGTGCCCACCGGAAGAGCTCATTGTCGAGAGTGCAAGGGGGGGG